ACACAGTCAAACATCATATGCATAACATGAGCAATCCCAAAAAAGACTCGGATTTAGAATTACTCAAGAAAATCAACAAAACAATAAACTCACAATTACTTAATAGTTTCATCCTCTTGCCTTACAATATTTTTGATTGCAGAAACATCCAACCTTGCTGATTCTTGCTTCACCCATTCCACCACCCTCTCAGCCTCCCTACAAACTCTCTTTTCCTCCGCCATCGCCTTCTTCAACCTTCGCTCTTGTTCTTCCACTGAAAAAGTACTCATATCCGAAAGAATTTCTCCATTTCTTCCCCAATTACCATTGTCTTCAATGTCAAACTTTGAAAGACAAGCAGTTCCCTTGCTCTTCTTTCTGTGATTCTTTGGTGAAGAGTACCAAAAGCAACAGATTGGCCTTGGTGGAGATCCTGACTCCATCTTAATGAATCAGTTGGAATCTAATCTTAAAGGAGAGAGAGAGAGAGAGAGAGAGAGAGATCAAACCATATATTGATGGTATTCAAATTCAGATTAATTTGAACCTCAACTCAACAAAACGTCGCCCCAACGAAACAATGGATGGCACCGCTTGAACTCGAATCGGACGAACTACGCCACGACATTGAATACCTAAAATCCCAGAAAGAAATGGGTGTTGGATACTAGTAATCACCTGCTAATTCAAACCCGAAATTGAACCATAGAGCAGCCAAGGTTGAGATAATTCATTGACCTCTACAGGCTGAATGTTCAAACCTCAACAATAATTATCATTTTTAGCCACCCAAATTACATAATGCTGAGTCGTTGGGACCCATTTCCAAATTTTTTCAGTCCATAGGATTACAATTATGAGACCTAACTCGCAGCAGAAAACAAATTCTGAGACATAAGAAATTGCATATGTTCTTTAAGAGTAGGTGGCGGGTAACATCAAAGCTATAATGGAGCACGCAAAGCTTGCATGGTAGTCAAATTGCAAATAAATAATTTATTAGTTAGGCTTGTTAATAGTGGTGGATAAGGTGGATTCATGTTAAAAAATACTCCACTCATTTCAGTTTTATTTTTTAATTCGTGTCTAACAAATCGTATTTTATTAAGTTCTTGTCATGTATAAAATAATTGTATTGTGTATTTTTGTTGATTAACTACACTCATGCGCGATTCATTTATAAATCGTACTATATCAGGTCTACTCATTTACGAAATTAGCTTAAAAAAACTCACTCATAAATTGTACGTGGCAGAAACATTGACACTCAAACTTTTTTTTGGGTACTAAAATAGGGGAGGGCAGGTAGTAATTTATGAACGTAAGCATGAGAGTCTCCCACTATAGAATGTCTAGCTTGAGTCATAATTATTAATCCAGAAAGGTAGTCCGTCACCATAATACCACTAAACCCAAGTAACAAATTGAATTAGTATCGTAAATCGAACCTTACTTACAATCAACATGAGAGTTAAGAACGATTCTAAACTGATACGACTTACCAGTAAACCACCAGCTCGGGTGGTGCGGTGCCAAGTCAAACTTAAAATATCGAGATTCTGTACGCATGAGAACCCTCCAGTTTTTCAATTTGGAACACCCTGCTACGAGAGGAAAAAAGAGAGCACAAACAAAAATTAGCAACTGGGACATCACCGTGGGAGCTTACTCATAAATTCCAAATTAAAGTTGGGGCTACAATATATTATAATGCACTCCTCAGCAGTTTAATTAAATATTTAATCATTCTTTGATATTTTAAGATTGACCTCATAACAAGAAGATTTATTTTAGATCCACCTAATACTAAAATTGTCTCCCCTATTTTTTGTTAGGGCGAGTTGCACTTTTTCATCCAGAAAGATTTACGTGATCTTTCTGTTAGTTTTTGTTACTCATTTCATCAATATCAATGTGCTGATTTTTTATGAAATTAACAATGAAAATTAATAGAAATGTCACATTATAATATTTTTAATACATTGAGGGTAAAATATAAAAAAACTAGTCATAACCCGTGCCTGAAGGTACGATAAAATATAAAATTCGAATGTCCAAAAAATCGATCTCATTATATTAATTTTTTTAAAAATATATTAATTAAAAATTAATTAAATATTGAATGATTAAATATATGATAAAAATGAGTGATGTGATATTTTTAAGAAAAAAATATATAAATGATTAAACATATAATAGAAATAAATGATGTAATTTAACGTTTGAGTCTGACAAAAGATTGGTGGGTGAAGTAAATGATTGATAATGATTTTGAAGGGAAAAATATGACTGGGACAAAATTCAAACGCACTCCTGTTTTATAATATAGATATAATTTTTGAGACTATAAAATATAAAATCTTAAATTTTTCACAATACCAAAAAAATTCCCCATTTTTCTTTGAAACAAACTTATCTTATTTCCAAGCTTAATACACACTCCAACAAAATTGTTTTCCTGCCAAACACCTTGCTGTGTCTCTCAACTAGGGACGTAAAAATATGATATGATACGAAATTAGAGGATTTGAATTTTTTTTTAAGTCACTCATTTTGTAAATAAGTGGGCTCAATACAACACAATTAATAAACGAATTAGGTATGAGTAACGCCAATGAAAAAAAATACGACATAACTTGTTTAAATATCGAGTATATATGATTTATACACAACTCACTAAATACGAATTAATAAACGAATCCAATATAAATAGAATATATTTTGATGCAAATCCGCTAAAATCCAACTCGTAAGTACCTACTCTTACTTAACACACATTGAAACAAAATTACTTTCGTGCAAACACCCGTCTTCTTCTCTCTCAACCTACATCAAAATGCAGACCTCACAAACACCACACCTAGAAAGGGGAAAAGAGAATGATGGAGGGTAGAGAAAGTCAAACCAAAAATCATGACTTTTGTCATCGTTCCATGACAATAAAACCCACTAATCCAGTGACTAAGAATCTTTTGTTGCACATAGTATTTCCCAAAAAGAAAAGTCGAACTATTACTTTTGGATCAAACCAAAGCTGGGTGGTCTAGAGGTTCTGCCCAGTGGAGGGGGTTGCAGGAGGTGTGTACAGTTGGGAAAGAGCTCCGGTGCAGGCCGAGGGTGACTCTTCCTCTCGTTTTATAGTTTTTTGATCTTCATCAATTTTGACCAAAGTTTGAATCAAACGTGATAATCTTAACTCATTACTTAGTAATCTGTCCGATCCATTTATAAATTAATAGGTTGGGTACCTATATTAATTAATACGGGTTATAAATGAGTTAAATAATATGATTCATTTTAATTAAGCGGGTTAATAAATGAGTGTTCATTGAGTTGAGTATTTATCTTTTTATTAAATAACACAAGTAACAAAATTAAATAAATATATTAATATATCAAAAAATATACATCTATATAATAAAACAGAAGTGTATTTGAATTTTATTTCAGTCATATTTTTCCTCTTAAAACCATCATCAATCACTTATCTCACTCATCATCTTTTTGTCAAACTCAAACGTCAAATTGCATCACTTATTTCTATCATATGTTTAATCATTTATATATTTATTCTCTAAAAATATCACATCACTTATTTTTATTATATATTTAATTATTTAATATTTGATTAATTTTAAGTTAATATATTTTGAAAAAAGTTAATATAATAAATCAATTTTTTAGACGCTTGAATTTTATATTTTATTGTGCCTTCAGGCACGGGTTATGACTAGTACACACTATTACATCAAAAAATACACATATATACTAATACACTAAAACATATACACACTAGCATATAAAAACACACACACAATAATACACCACCCATGACATGCGGGTTGACCCATGACCCATGACATGCATCCATGACCCCACGGGTTGACCCACAGACCAACTCAGTCCACAATCGACCCGGCCCATTATGTGTGTATTTTTTTTATTAAATGTGTTTTAATTTTTATGTTAGTATATGTGTGTGTATTTTTGGTTTATTATTATGTATTTTAGTGTATTAATGTGTATATTTTTAGTGTATTAGTTTTTGTGTGTTTTAGTGTATTAGTGTGTCTGTGTGTGTATATATTTGTATTTTGGTGTTCTACTAATGTGTGTGTGTATATTGGTGTACTAATGTGTTTATTAAAAATTTTAATTATTTTATTGGTTAATAGATTTAACACAACCCGTTATAACTCATTTACTACGTGAGTTCAAAATGAATTGAATTTATTTTAGTTCAACTCAATCCACCAATTTGCCACTTCTAGTTTGAATGGTTTAATTTCGAGGGATAAATTAGTCATTTAATTAATGAAAATCTTCTATTGAAAATTTCAATTATTTAATTAATGTGATATGTGCGTGGGCGTTTTGGTGTAATAATTGTTAAATTAAAAAAAAAATCAATCATTTCAAAAATGTCAAAGCATGATTAAATAATAAATCCGGACTTAGATCCCCTCAATTATCAATTCCCTTCCATTCTTTTAATATAGTGATAGATAAGTGACATGTGTAAAATTTAAATTTTAACGGACAAGATATTTTCTTATTTATTTTGTTATTAGTGGAGTATCAACCATGGTTAAAAAATTTTGTTACAAGAAAAAAATCTTTTTTATTGAGATTTAAAATCTTACACATATTATCTATCTAACATTGTATTAAAAGGAATTGAAGAAAAAGAGTAATAGAAAAGATCTGAAACAATATGATTTGTCCATATGTAGATGGAAAAAATAATCCTTATAATTAAGGGTTTTAATATCACTAAAGAGGAAAAAATGACCTGAAATAAAGAACTCTCTAATTGATGAGTAAAATCTGCACTCCAAAAGAAAATAAAAAATATTCGACTCCAACTACAGCGACAAATCTAGACACACAAATTTAACGTGAAATTAAAATTTTGAATTTAAGTTTAACATATTTAGATAATAAATAGATAGATTCATTAAACTCATCAAATAAATAGATTAGTTTGATTCCGACTTAAACATAAGACGGACGCGTTAAATATAATTCATACATGATATGAACTTAATATATATATTAAATAAATTTTTAACAGAAATTAATTATGACACAACCCTTAAATTTTTGTCATGCTTGTAAGGTCTTATGGTCACGAGTTCTTCTTACCCACACTGGATAGTAGCCACTGCAAAATAATGCAGTTGGGTCCCACAGGGGTCCCACGCCCTTGACATTTTGAGTTAGCCGTTGCAGCAGCCATATAAAGTGAAGTTCTTTGAAAAGAAAGAAAGAAGGCCCGTCTCTCTCTCTCTCTCTCTCTCTCTCTCTCTCTCCGGCATGGCAGATTTCTCGTATCTGTCAGACAGCGACGATGAAAAAGCAGTGCAAGAGCTTCTCTCTCAGGCAATGGACCACTCTGTTCTTGAACAAGTTGCAAAAATAAACTGCTCTGGTTTCACTGACTCGGATCTTCCAACTCACCTAGAAACCCGGTTCCAAAAGCTCAAATCCTTCCCAGCCACAAAACCCAAGTCTCCAAATCTCACCACTGACCCAAAGAATTTAGCCTCTTCAAGCTTCAATTCAAAGCTTTCTTCTCACAAATCGTTAAAACCCCAATTGGACAACGAGTTGAAGAACTCAATTCGAGCGAAAACTGAGTCAGACTCGCTCTCCGACGATGAAAATGTGTTTCAAGAGGAAGACCCAAAAGAGAAAAAGCGTTTGAATCCAAAACTACAATCAGGGTTTGATTTTTCGCCTTCAAAATCATCAAATTCATCAAGGGAAAGTGCCATTTTCTCCCCTTCCAAACAAAACCCAGATGGTAAGTCAGGCTCGAAATCCAAATCCCAATCTGGGTCAGCTCTATCTCGATCTGATTCTTGGGATATCTCATTGGATTCTCTATCTCCGCCACAGAAAACCGGCTGTTTTCTCTGTTCTCCGAAAAGGGTTTCTAGGAAAAAGAGCAAAGAAAACAGAATTGGGGGTGCAAGTCTTGATTGGGGAAAGAATTGGACAAAGAACGATGAGTTTTTATCAGATTTGAGTACTTTTTCGACGAAAGAGCAACAAAAGATGCTGAAGAAGGCCATGAAAGAGGAAGAGAAGATTAGTCGTGAAGCAGAGCAAATTGTCAAGTGGGCGAAACAAGCGTCGGCGAGGATGGATGTTTTGGGAATTGAAGATGAACTAAGTGACCATGAGAGCAAGAAGTGAATCAGCTTCATACCCAGATACAATTTGCTATAGAGACTTAATTCGTGATCTAATCAACGGACTTAATTCAATCTAGGGATTGAATTAGTGGTGAATTTCGATGTTTAACGAGTTCACTTTCAATCCAATTGATTAGGTATCGCGATTACATCTCTTAATTAGGTCCGAATAATATTTTCTCGGTCATAATAGTTGTTGATATGTTTCTATGATTCTTCTTTGTTTTCAATTCTAGAATATGCAGTGTAATTTGTGGAGGGTATGGTTTTCTCAAAATGTTAATATACAAGGAAATATACGCAGTTGTGATTTATTAGGTTTTTTGGTAGTAAATATAATATATTAGGTATAACTAGTGCCTAAAAATACGGTATAATTTAATAAACTTATTGAAAATTATCTTATTTTATATTATAGACATTAATGACTCATGTGCAATAATTTATGGGTGCAATAGTAATAAAGATTTATTGTGATCCGATTCAAATTACATATATCTATATAATAAAGTATGATACAATTCAAATTTCAAAAGATAAACAAAATAATTTTTATTTTTTGCGGTCCAGATCATTTTAAATTTTATTTTAAAGTTAATCTAACGGCTAATATTAACTTCTCAAATTTACTAGCGATAAATAGGCTCCCTAAATGTATGTGTGAGGTGATTTTTTAAAAATGATTTTAATAAATACTTTAAAAAAAATAGTGTTTGGAATGATCCTATGACCACCACCACAACTGCCCCACCACAACCACTATCGCCACCACCATCGTTACCGTCATCATACCATCACTTTCATTGTCACCGCCACCACCAGCATCTCCCCATCACCACCACCACTGCCCCACCATTACCATCATAACGCTGCCACCACCGTTGCCACCACCCTACCACCATCGCCTCCACTCAACTACCACCATCACCACTATTGCCACCGCTACCACCACCCCACCACTATCACCACTACCACCACCATCACTGTCACCCCACTACCATCTATGCCACAACTACCACCACCATCACTACCATCGCCACTACCCATCACTCACCACGATCGTTGTCACCCACCACCAATTGCTACCACCGTAGCTCATAGCTACCACCCACCACCATCATCATCTCATTCTTATATTTATTATCACTACCACCATTATCCCACCACCACAGTCGCCCACCATTACCGTCCATTGCCACCCCCTACCATAAACCACCATCACTTGTTGCCCACCACCACCCACCACTATCGTCGTCACACCACCACCCACTACCATAACTCACCATCACCCACCACCGTCACTACCCCACCACCACCACTACAAACAACTATCATCGTCGCTCACCACCATTATTATTGTCACCTACAGCTGTCGCCACCACCACTGTCGTCCATCACCATTACCACCACTCACCCCTACCACAATTTGTTTTTAAATTCTTTTCTCTGTCTTCTATCTTTGTAATTTAATTTTAAATGTGAATACAAATATATTTATTGTTAATCATTTTTATTATTTCGTGCCTCCAGACATGAAAAATAACTAATATATATATATATATATATACACATGATGGCATTGGATGATATTGTAATGATATTGGCTTGAAGTATATGTAATTTGTTCAAATTCAATTGTAATTGAGTTATTTGAAGTGGATTAGATATTCAACTTTTTACAATTGTATATGGACTAAAAAAATATATTCCTTTAGATATTTTGGATAAAACATTTGTTAGAGTCTGCCGCTACAAATTTATAAGAACGCCAAGAAAATAAGACATCCCACTAACACGAATACTAAATGTCACGTGCCTAATAACAATCTATCTACTTGTTGACTTGTAGACTTACTTAAGTCTGCCAATTGTATAGGTTGAAACAAGTTTATGTCAAATTTAACGGGTTTGTGTTAAAAAAAAAATATTCCACTCATATTTCATTTGTTTATTAATACATGTCCCAATAATCATGTCATATTAAGTGTGTTTCATTTATCAATTATTTATAATCAATATATAAACGAGTCATATCTTGTATTTTTTGATTAATTTTACTCATATCTAATTTATTTATAAATTATGTCGTGTTTGATCCTCACCTAATTCACACCATTGCATTTACTATTAACCTCATTAAATATTAAAATTTGGTATTAATTCAATGGTTACACTAAAATTATATCATTAAATTAATAAATTAAATCAAAATTTTTAGATCTAAATGACATTACTCTAATAAATATCACTAATCCAGCCCCCATTAATGATTCATAATCTCATACTCAATTTGACTGAGCATTCCAAGGGTTAAAAATCTTAAAAACAGACCCCTTATTAGAATAGCTCTCCTAAGCTTTTCCTTGTGAAAATAACTCTGAAATAGCAAATTACCCACCTACTCACAATAGCAAAACATATATAATTATCATGACAATTGAAATCCATTACCAACTATAGATACTCCCATCCAAACAGGACCTCAATAACAGATCAATGGAAGCCAATTAGCAGTAGGTAACCATTTGAGCATCAATCAAACAAGAAAATATTCGGTATAACAATTACACAATATTAATAGTATCACTCGATATAACCATCTATTAAATAGACAAGTGAGCCCCACGATTTTTTTCTTTTATTAACTGTAACTCCACAAAAATCAATCACCACATAATCACATTCTTGTTAAAAAAAAAAGAGGGGTCCACTTTATTTTGAATGACATTAATTACCCAAAAAATATGAGCAATGCTACGTGGATTTAAAAATTAAATTTAATAATCTCAATCATTTAATTTTACTGTGGGTCCCAACATTTATTGAGACCACTATCTATTCGATGATTAAGATTATCAAGTCTAATTTTTAAGTCTATCTAGTATTAATCAAAAAATATCTCCGAGTTCAACACCAAGTATCACCATAGTCGCATATTATGCTCAGACCTGCGATTGATTGCCTCCCGAATTGACTAAAAGGCCCACCCTTACACAGAGATCAGAAGCTAAAATCTACGGGCTTCAAGGTAAAAACAATCCTCTGCAACTTCTCTTCACCTTTTTCTGAACCATGAACAGGTAGGTCTGAACAGAAAGTTCAACACCAATATAACAAACCCCCCCAACCCCCACATAAAAATTAAATTATCTTTATAACCCCCCACTTCTTATCTCCCTCCACCCGCCATGGTTTCCCATGACCACGGACATTATCGCAGAACCAAATGACCAAAATGTCCATCCATGAAGTACAATGATAAAGAGGGCAAGGCAATGTTTAACTAACAATTTCAACTCCACGAACAGTGGAGATCTGAATCCAAAGATACACAAACAAACCCTTACCCCCAAGTTTTTTTCTTTCACAAAAAGGGCCAAAATGAACAAAATAAATTAGATAAACCCCCCGTGAAAAACTAAAATTACTTTCCACTCCCTCTACCAATCATGTCCTTTTGTACCTGAGGATTGAAACCAGCCTCTGCAACTTCAACTGTTGGTTGAACCTATTGATGAAATCATCAGCCTTGGCATCAACCTCGTCGTCATCCTCAGTCACTCTAGCACTCCTCTCTTTCACAGTAGCCGGACGACGAGCCTCTACAATTTCCTCTTCCTCAAAATGCCCAAAAGCTGACTTCAAACTCGCCGACTTCCTCATCTTCGCCGGCAGTCTCGCCGGGACCTCACCGGATGCTGGCTTGGTATCAGACTTGGTCCGGCTAACGTGACTGTCCGTAAGTTGACTGTACACCTCATCCAGGGTTTGTAGCTCTTCAGTCTCTTCTAATTCCTCAGTAGCTTCAATATGGGTTTGCTCAAAATTGTATTGGGTATCGGTTTTTTGGGTCTTTTCTTCATGTGCTTGTTCAAAACCGTACTGGGTCTGTGTTTCCTGCATTCTTTGTTCATAACTGAATTGGGTTTGTGTTTCTTCGAGGGTTTGTTGTTCTTGGGATTGGAGAAAAACGTACTGGGTCTGTGTTTCTAGGTTTTCTTGTTGATGGGTTCGTGGAAGAGGGAAATGGGTATCTGAATCTGGGTTTTGTTTGGTGATGGAGTGTGACGGGTGTGGTTCTTGGGATCTGTAGCCGTAGAGGTTGATGGACCTGAGACGTTGAAGAACAGAGGGAGATCTAGTGAGTTTGGGCTGTTGTGAATCGTCTTGAACTTCCTGCGGTTGTTGGTGCTGTTTCTGGTTTGCCAAGCCTGAGGTAACGAAAATGGTGCCTATCATCACATTGAGGAGAACGAAGAAGACAGTGGGTGTGAACCAGCTGATCATCGAAGCCCAGATCGATGGTATAGATACAGATTCTTCAGACATTGTTTTCCAGAGAGAGAAAGTGAGTGTCTGTATGTTTGTGTAAAAAGAGAGAGAGATTGTTGTTTGCAGAGTTGGAGTGAGAAAAGTAGGGGGACGAAAGACTGAGACAGAGCTGTTGGTGGGTGTGCTTAATCTATAATTATATTTTAAAATTTTTTGTATCATATGGAACACGTGTCACAATGATGAATGAGTTGCGGGAGAACAGAGACAAAAGAGAAGAGCTTTCAATGAATAGTTAGATGTATAAAGTTAGATTTATTATAATCTTTTAAGATTAAATGTAAATAATTTATTTTTTAATGAATACCCTAGGATCGATGATTTATATTTAATTAAATTGGGGAGAGAATTACTCATATGTTTATTTAAATTAAATTAAAAATTACTGAAAAAGAAAAAAGAGGGAAAAGTAGTTGGGCTGGGCGGGGAGGGGGAGGGGGGGTTGTTGTGTGTGTTGAATGAAGTGAGTTTATGGCGGATTTAGTAAAGGGGTGGTGATGTGGACAGCACGGCAGTACAAGGGACTTAAAGCCTAAAAGGAAGAAGACGACGTCGTTGTGGGTCTGTTCAACACTGACTGAACGAAAAAAGCTGATTTTAACGGTAGTTTTTGAGATGGGCTTTAACTTAATGATTAGTCTCCAATTTAGCTGTCTTGTCTGCCAACATTATATGTCGAAGAATATTGTACCCAAAAAAAAAATTAATATTTATTATTTTTTTATGTCAACCTACATGTTAAAAAGATATAATTTTTTTTATAATTAATCATTATATTATAAAATCGAACATTTCTATTCTAATGGTAGCTTACACTCCCCAATATAATACCACTATTGTCTTCCTCAAACTTGGATACCCAAGGATGAAAGAGGGGCTTCCAACAATGAAGTATTTTTTTATGAACATTATTATAGGGGGTAAGATGCTAAAGTTCTAAACCACGATGTTAAAATTCAATAATAAAGATTATAGCTATTAAATTAATAGCTAATCTCAAGGAGGCATCTTAAAGTAGACACTAATTTTTTTTCAATCATAGTTTATTATTATGATAGATAAAAAAATTTGAGTGCTTATTATGATGAATTCTAATTTTGATAAATGACATTAATTGTTGAATTTGTACCGAATTTATTACTTTAAATGTTTTTAAATTAGAGATAACTCGTGTTTGAAAATACAGTGTAATGTGAATTATTTTAAGAACGATGTTGATGGCCGTTGAATGAATTTATTTGTGATCGTCAAATAAATTTATTAAAATCTACTTTATTTTATATTATTGAATACCAATATCCAATTGGAAATGTCCTTTGGGTATGATTTGTGGGTAAATGTTCACAACCAAACTTTATACTAGCAACAATCTAAAAGACAAGTATAATAATGTAAAGACTTTGAGACAGGAAACACACAAAACCTACTTAAACCGGCTAGTGGCCATATACTTATGTGTTGTTTAGAGCATCTCGAACTCAGCTCTTCGAAATAATTAATTAAAATATATTTAATTAATCATACCCTTTATTTTAATTAATTATATCACTTAACTTTCACTAACTTCCAATAATTTTAAAAAAATACAACATATATATAGAGAGAGATAGAGAGAAAAAGAGATGGAGAGAAAATTTGGAGAGACTAAATGGCCCTCCACATTTGAAGAGTCATTTGAGTGAAATGAAAAATAGAGAGTTTGTTAGAGAGTGTTTTTAATGTTTGGCTAGTTAAAATAGCTAAAATGAAGGAAATAGAGAATGTGTTGGAGATGCTCTTAGAGCCTTTTTAATGTTTACTCAAATTTGAGTTAATATTTGAGTAAATAATTTGATTTGATACAACACATTCTAATGGACAAACTCATATTTAAAGAAATGTAAACTCAAATTTAAAATAAGACAAATTCAAATTTAAAGGAATGTGAAATATGACAATTGAATCTTTTAAAAGAGTGAAATCTAACCATTAAATGAATAAATATTTTAATCTGTCTTGATTTGAGTAAAAAATGGAGTTTTCCTTCATTTTTGTACAAGATTGAATCAAAAACTTGAACTTGTTTTTAATATGTTTTTCCTCGAATTTAACTTTAGTCATATTGTTTGTTTGTAGTCCCATGGTATCGAATTTTTTTATTTTTTTTTATATCCCATCTTCATTTTTTTATCATAAAAATATTACATGAAATTTTTTTTAATAATTTTTTCTTATTATACCATTTTTAAATTAACAATTACAAGACATTCAATTCAAAATCAATGATCGAAATTAATCGAAATACGACACCCCCTTCCATAAGGTACCATTACCCAAATTTGTATGTGCTGTAATGATGATGAAGACCAAACCAGAGTGAAACTTTCTGATCCCATTGGGTAAACTAATTTTTCGATTCGAAAATTTGGCAATGGTGTGTAGCATATAGTTTGTGTTAAACTATGTCATATAGAATAGAGCAGTAGATGGAGGTTCACCATCTCTGTGCGATCATTCACCATATATAGATGGAGGTTCACATAAAAATAATAGGTCCTACAAATTCACTATCAATGATCTACCGTTCAGAAAAATTGAAGTATATGGATGAGATACTAGAAACATTCGACAGTACATAAAAAATTGATCTATTATCCTAAAAAAGTCTTAGGTTAATGCAATGAGGTAGAATGCTGTGATATTGCAGGAGCAAAATACCAACCTCTATGGTCATTCACCAAATGCATCTCGAGATATTAAAGGTAACTAACAAACGAGGTCAATAACATGGAGAACATGTCCCTGCCCCCAGACAGTAGATTGTGAACTGATGAGATTGGCAAACAGCTAATCAATTGAAACTTCAGTCAACAGAAATTTTGACAAAACAAATGGTACGTTGAAATAAATTCTAATCGGTGAAATTGAATAAAACATCTCACGGTTCAAAAGAAGTAATAGAAACAAAAAAGAATACAAAAATCGACGACCAGCTAAAATAGGCCCCAGAAATGGAGTCTGGGTGCTGTAGATTGAATACATACCTAACTTTTAGTATTATTTGCCAAAGTAGATGTCTTAAGGATCACACCCAAAACCTCAAGTAATCTCTGAACCAGTGCGTCTAAGTAAAATTTATATTATAAAGTGACCAAAAAAGATTGATTTGAGTCATCAGCTAAAGCCAGTGTTACCTACAACTATTAAATATTGTAGAGTAACTTTAGGTATCCTTTGCTGCAGTACTGGCAGTGCCTCCTACACTGATATTGCGTAGTGTCTTCATGGGGGCTCTTTTTTTTTTTTTTATGGGACTTTATCAACAATAAAGGGTAACATTACAAAAAAAACCACATCAAGTGTAGACAAGAGGTCCAACACAAGACTGGACAATGAGAACTTTAAAAAAAGAAAAAGAGCAAACAAAACTACAAGCCACAAGATGCTTTCTAGCTTGTTCTAATACAAAAAAAAAGGAATATCTTGAAACTCCTTCGACAATGAAGTCCAAAAAGAGGCCAAACAATATAGTCTTTCCCAAAGCTTCTCAAAATCTTTACATTGATCTTAAAAAATCCTCATATACCGTTCCTCCCAAGTTACCCATAATATAGCAAACAAAGCGTTGTGCCAAATGGTCTTTGACTTTGTATTTCCCACACACCCCATATCATCCATACAAAATATAGAATTCATATTCCTTGAAGCAACCGAAGCAAAGTCCATAAGGTCAAAAAGCTTGTTCCATATTGCTCGTGTCAAAGGACAATGCAAAAATAAATAATCTACACTCTCATTATCATCTCTACGCATTACACACCAATGTGGATGAAGACAATAATTAGGCCTCCTCTTTTGAAGAACCTCAATAATCTTTTCATGAGAAATTATCCATGTACAAACTTGCACTTTAAAAGTCACCGTCCCCCTCAAATCCTCAATGATAAATAGAATAAAAGAAGGAAAAAATCATCTATAAGAAACTCAAAAAACGACTTGCAAGAAAATAGTCATGAAGAATACCAATTCAATTCCTCATATCCTTATAATTTTGAACCAAAGTAATATTATTAAGCAACGAAAGAAGACTCTCCAACCCATATATCCTCCTAGAAACACTCGAGTTCCATCTCCCACAATGAACTTGACTCTGTGAGAAAAGCAAGACAACCCCTGAGAAATGAATCTCCAAGTACTCCGAAAAGAGCCCATTTCAACTCCATTAGCATCCCCCCCCTATTAGCCTATAACCCATATTTGTTCCTAATAACTGTATGCAACAATGAATTTTGTTCCAATGGGAATCTCTAGAGCCATTTCCTAACCACAGCTACATGTCTTTTTACCAAATTCCCAATCGAATTAAATGGTCCTTCCTCCCCTCCCCTCCCCTCCCCTATCCCACCCCCTCCTATAAAATATCCCTCATTAAACTTTCAATTTTTCTAGCCACCCCAACAGGCAATATAAAAAGAGAAATGAAGTAGATTGGAATATTAAACAAAACTGACTGAATCAATGTTAATCGTCTCCCCTAGAAACAAAAGATTTCTTCCAACCATCTATTCTCTTCCCCACTTTCTCAATAGCAAGATCCCAAAAAAAAATTGTACGCTCTTTAAGGTCACCTAATCTATTAAAATGCAAGCACAAGGGAAGACACCCTTGAAGCATCAAAAAGATTTGTGCAACCAAGAGAAAAAGAGCAGCAAGAAAGACGGGGCCTTTGAAAAGACAGTTAACATTGTTATTTACACCAATCGTCATGAATTCCTAATATTTGCAGCTCAAAAAGACAGAAAAATAATTAAGAATAAATTACCGGACGTTTAGCTTATAACAAAACACATGTGAATTTAATATAATAAATATGAAGCTTGTTGTAAAAAGGCAGCCATTTGCAGAATCTTAAATTCTGGCCTACCCAGAAAAGGGAGGGGGGGGGGGGGGCGCGAAGAAAACCCCACAAAATTAGGAAAAAGGAAGAATGCAAGATTTGTGGGTCATCCATGTTGCATGTGACAACATACATTATGGCACTGGCATGTTTTCGAAATGCCACCCGTTAAACGTGTACTCCTACCAGAAGTCATGTCCAAGATAGAAAAAGACCATCATTGTTGTAGGTCAACATAAGCTTCCCAAACACTTCTCATATTCTCTTGGTTTTGCAAGGACAAGTAAAATATTCACATTACCCATGCTATAATATTCACATTACCCATACTACATATAGCATATACATTGCATTCGGATGGAATACACCGGAGTAGAACATGACTAACAGGAAGTTCATTCTTTTAGTCATGTCCCTGTGTCGTAATGCAGGGCTTAGATGAACCAGTCACCAAGCACACACTTCACACAATCATTCCAGGGCACACAGAAAATAGAGCAACACAAAATGATCCCAATTCCAATCCCAAGCAAATCAAAGCCTCACACACATGCTAGTCCAATGGACACCTTTCATTTCCAAGGCCCCCTATATCACTTGGTTAACTGATGTAAAAGATTTTACCTTGGACTACTAGTACTCCTTAACATCAGCATAATAGTTAGCAGACCAGGAACCATCGCCACACACAAGTGCTCCAATGAGTGTCCACTTATAACGTACCGAGTTACCTTGAAAATTTTCCTGTCAGCAACGACTTCAAATTGCCCTAGAAGGTAAACCCCTGTATCAGGTAATTTTAAAAATTACTGTTTGGATAAATCAACTCAATCTGCAACCTTACAAAAGGTAAGACGCGGGAATATAAGATACAGCAAAGAAAGGTGTTCTGAAAACCAGTATCCTGCAGAAGTTATTTCCTCACTTGATAGTCGGGAAGTACTTTAAAATTTTGGTTGTTCTTTGCCATTCATGCAGAGTTATTTGTGCACATACGATGGGCATGATAAAAAAAACCAAAACTTGATGATACAACAATATTTTTGAGTTTTGCAAAGTTAAGTAGGAGGTACATTTTTCGAACTACCAGATAGGTATGGTTAATATTCAGAATGGTTGTGGTTTAATATGAAAAAGTTCAAAGCCTCATCTTTGCATACTTGAGGGTTTGATTTAAATCAAAACAGAATTAGAGAAGTCACAGGAATAAACCCAAGCAACGTGTTTGATTTCCAATGCATAAGGTAAAATTACTTTTGCCTTTCTTTCTTTTTCCTTTCCTGCACACCTTTGGACATCCACGTCCCAATAATTGTCAGCCCAAAAGTTTGCAAAATGCATATACTAAAGAATTGTCCAATTACTCCTAATATGTATGCTTATGCACGCACAACACACACACACACACAGATATAGAGAGAATCCCTTGAAGCTATTTGTAATAAATAACATCTGACACATAAAAGCCGAGTAAAAAAAAGGAAAACTCAAGTTTGAGCCTTTCACCATAGATCAATTATGATTTTAACCAGAACAATGTCGCATTGGACATAAATCCAAGTTGCTTCTCTTGCACTTATACAACAATGTAAAGTGATCTGCTTATTTGCATAATGTAGATAGTAACCAAACTCTAGTCTGAGCATTGATAAATTCAATTAAAACCAACTGACTGAATGAAGAGGATGAAGGTATTTATCTGGAAAAAAAATAACAAGGGGCAGAAGTGTGGGGAGATCAACCTTTTTAGGCAGTGTTCACTGCATTCTGAGCATCTACCTTCAATTCAGTAATCCTGATTTTCTTGTTTGGAGACCGAAAAAAAAAGTATATGGTGGAGGAAAAAAAATTATGAATGAAACATTTGACGAGTTGGGACAGGAGTTCTACACCCAATTACTTAACATTTGAATACCAAATTACTGGCATTGTTTTCAGCACAACAACTACAATTATATTTGCTTTGTTGAATTCTACTCATTTGTGGGCTTATGGACGATTGCTACAATAATACGCATGATGCATTTTATATTTAAAATCGATCATAAATTTCAAGTTTTCAACTAATGTCTACACAACCAAAAATAAAACTGGGAGTTTCTTACCTGCAGAATCGTCATGTGGAACTTAGTATGTCAATAAATATGACTCGATACATTCAGAAAACTAAGAGCAATTGCGTACCTGCTGCCAAGAGCCAATACCTTGAATGAGTATATTTCGGTGGGTACAACAATGTCACACACGGAATGGCTATGCATGGAATCAATTGGAACATCATGCACATGCGAAGATCATTCAAATTTCTGCAACCAGCTAGCATAGCAAATCCGGGATTAAACTAAAATTAAACGGCTCGACATTAACTGTTCATGCCAAAAATGTAATCAAGCAAGGAAATCCACCAAGTGGAACATCAAAACACCCTTCACTCAGCAAAGCAATAAATGAAAACAATAAACTAACCTTTCATAAGCTGTGCTGATAAAAGCAACAATAAGGAGACCAATCAAGCAAGTCAATCCAACCCTCTTCCCCGCCCTTTCAACAATTAGACTAGAAAGCACTGAGGAATAAGCAATCATCATCTGCAATTTAGAATGCACAAATGCATAAGCAAAAGAGTAAAAAACAAGAAGTTAGTGAAATTCACATGAAAATCAATAACCAAATGAGTCAGAAAAGAAATCATTATTGAGATTAAAATACTAAAAATAAATTGCTAACCGGCAATGTGTCCCAAGTTACTCTACTATTATCAGGCTTTAGATGATAGTAAGCAGACCCAAAAGCTACGGCCGCAATCCCTGTATAGAAAATAGTCCAGCCCCATATCTCTCCTCTCAAACTACAACCAGCCCATTTCCAAACTAAACATCAAAAACGTAAACAGCACATGTACAGAACATCTTTAAAGAGGAAATCACAAACCTTATATTGAAGAAATCTCCTTCGAGACAGAGGACAAAACCCAGAACACCAACAATCAAGAAAGGGAAGTTTGTGATCACATTCAGTGTATTAGGAACTCCTGTGAGAGAAAAAAAAATCACATATAGTGCAGAAATCAAAAATCAACCGTACAATGAGAAAGAGAAGCACCTAAGAAATTGCGCATGTCAGAAAAGCTGTGGTGTTCGGGGGAATGAGAAAGTTTGGGTGTGACCAGCATGAGAAAGAACCAAAAGAGAATTGCTCCTACACACATACGTGTTCGCTTTACTTTGGGAAGATGATGATCGACTACCCATGACATCTCTTTCTCTCTCTCTCCGTTCGACTCTTCGCTTTCTCGCTTTCTTTTTCTGAACTTTCCTTTTCTGTTACTTCCATTCAAATGTCGTCAAGGCGTTTTCATATTCTCGTTTTGTGCAGAAAAAAGGCCCATTAAGATTGGCCCAGTAGACAGGCCTTGGCCCGGCATGGCCTATAGACTGGTAAATAACTCTGTGAGTTAGCCCATGACTGTGCATGAGCCATTTGCTAGCGGGCTCAGTCGGCCCAGTTGTTGCAACTCTTATGCCGTTCCTCGCAAAACTACAAATTAAGTACCACAAATTGGGTAAATATTTAATGTAAGAGTGACGTTACGTCATTGTTGTCACGTGATGTAAACATCTAACAATAAGCTAATAAATGGGACAAATAAACCCTACTTTATTTACACTGAGGGTATTATTTAAAAGAGTGGGATTTATTTTACTCATTTCTGATGTTATAATTGTACGATTATACCACATGATAATGATAATGTGATATATCGGATACAATGAAACTTTTATCAACAAAATACCACCTTTTAAGTGTTGAATGCATAACCATGGACACCACCCCACATCGATCATCGTCGTTGCTACCACAAACACAACCACCACAATCACGCACTAACCCCAATTATACTACACCAATTGCAACCGTCACCACCTCCCAATTTATAGTACACCATTGTGGGTTTTTTTTTTATGCCTATTTCTTCATATTTTTTTTTTTTGTTGCAAAGATAGAACTACTCTCTCGAGAGTAAGAAGAGTGGCTCATAAACTATCTCAACTACCAAAACCTAGACCCAATCCCTTGACCCCGCCTTTCTTCTTCCTCTTTAAGTATCGCTAATCAAACCCTTACTCGCCTTTATTGATGTTGACGTGACAACAACTATTTAACCGGAAGTAAAAGGCATTAATCTTTAAACATACATATTCAAACGAAGCCTTACACCTTCCTCAATGATTGAAACTAGGTGGACTAATCTTTATCTTGAAATCTCAAATTCTACCTCTCAAAGACAACTCCAATTAATCTTTACATGCATGGTTTTTACAAACGATTGTTTATAAAGATTATGCATTTGAAATAATTTTTTTTTATTAAGTGGTAAAAATGTGCTAAATTATGCTGATTAAATCTGATTTGAAAAACTTAAATCTGACCATCACATTATATTCAGCTATTAGGTGACCAACTTTTTTCACTAAAAAATCACTTATCTGAAACTAATGGCTAACTTGGTTGACTTCAATAATTATAATCATTTAACCCTATTCTGCCCTTTACTTTTCTACTTTTCCTTGTTTGGAAAAAAAATGCAAAATTGTAAGACAATTGTGTTATAGTTTCACAAGATTCGATCAATTGCCAAACAATCCTTTGTTCTTTCGATAGGCCAGAGTTGCTCAAGTAATGCTGGAAAGTAGGGAAACAAAGCCCCATACGCGTCCATTTGGTAGATAATAGCCTTGTAACCCAAGACACGTTATGATACTAAAAAATGAATATTAATCATGTGATTTTTAAATTTTAAATAATAATTTATTTTTATTTTTATTTTTTTACTTATGTAATTAAAATTAAAGTGAATAGAGAGAAAATAAAATAAAGATCGGTGTAGATTAATGAGACGATTTGCATTGGAGAGTATGTTGATTAAATTGTATGACATTTAGGAGTATGCCGAGGAGAAAATAATATTTTTGAGTGAGAAAATAAATTTTGTACCATTAAATTAAAGTATATATAAATTGAATCAATCTAACATGTGTGAGATTGGGAGGGGAAGATTATTACCTTCGGGCTAGAGTAGGACAACCAAAATTAGAATCAACGAATTGACCTTTGAACCAATGATATTCGTTGTCTTGTAAAAATTGTCTTCTTAGCATGAATAGTTCAAGTTCTTTGTGTTAGACCAAAAGCAATTTTTTAGTGTAAAAAATAGAGTTTTTAGTTAATTTTGAGCCTAAATTAAAATAAGACCCATTAGTTATTTCGAATAAATTTTCGTGGGTTCATATTTTACTCCATGAGGAGTATAACGTGGAATATTCACTTGTTCAAATCGAATAAGAAATTAATGAGAAAATAAGCTCTAAAGTGACCCTCTTGAAGAGTGAAAATAGAAAATGTGCAATGTGAGATTTGACACCAATCCCACATTGGTTGAGTAAATAATTCAACATGAACATATATAACTTAAGTTTGCTCTATAGATTGGGCCCCAAGGAGTACCACAATTTTATGAGCAGAGCGAGCACTTTCATGCCGTTGGGTCTTCCACATGTGCGTGCGTCACCCACCTCGCCACGACCTGGCCGGGCTCGAGTGCGGGTATGCTTTAGACCAAACTCTATCTTTTGGAGAAAATTTATTTAATTTAATTGGGCATAAATTTCTTAACCCGAAATTAATTTCGGTATTTGCTCCAGTCCGAACCCCTTGGATAGTTTGGATTTTCAAGCTGTCCGAAAAGTCACCAATGCATCTATAAATACCCAAGTTATGCATTCGTTTTATTATTCAGATAACCAGATTATTTTCAGCATTAAGTGTATTATATTTCGTCATTTTAAGGCAGTACATTTTGAGAGTACACGACACAAAATTTGGTTCATTATACGAACAAATTGAAGTGCTACTTCTGTTTGTGGAAGATCATTGTATCTTGGGAGGCAGGGGCTCAGATTCCATAAGCACCGTGTGTAGGGGCGAAATCTGTCTTAAAGAAATAGTGTCAAACACTAGCCTTGATCTACTACGAGTTCAATAACAGTTCTGTTCTGCAACCGGATTAGTTTTTACATTAATTTGACATAGAATTACGTGTATCTGTTTACTGTAACTCTTTCGTGTTTACTGTAACTGTTTTGATTTGTGTTACGGTTCTACAGTTCACATTTACTGTTTATTTTATTTTAAGTTACATGATATCAGAAATATCAATAAGTAATTTTACAATTTTTGGAACACCTCAAACAACACTTTGAACAATAAAAACGTGGTTAGTTGGTAGAACAGACTTCAATTGTTTGGACAAACAATATCTAAATATCTGGTGTGGGTTCAAATGCCCATGAAATTGTAAGTCCAACTTAAACTAATGTATGGATTGAGGAACCACTTTATACATTTGAAATTTGCTCTCAATTATATTCGAACTCATGAGCTTGAGCGATATAAACAAAGCTCTACTTGCTAGGGATAGGCCAAAAATTTCTAACCTCACCAAAACCCACCCCCCCCCCCCCCCCCCACAAAACAAGAATTATAAAAAATAAAATAAAATAAAATAAAACTCAAATACGAAGTATTGATTGGTGAGGTGAGGGACTCAACCTTACCCAAAGAAATTTAAGATACAGTACGGTTTTGATTGGATAAAACTTTGTTTGTCACTAGCGTCCAATATGAGCAATCATTTCAGTGGGCCATGGCTTGTGGAATCACTATTGCTTAAAAAACACCCAATGCATGTGGCCAATTGTCTTGGTATCATCTTTAGATTAAAAAGAAGGGGGATAATATTTTATTTCGAAAGACCTAAAAAATTTATCTTATACTTTTAATAATTAAATTTTTAATATCTTAAAATGGTGCAATATAGTCTTTTTATTAGCTTCCATTGTTTATTCTGTCAACATCACTGGAGTATTTTTTGATAGAGCGAGCAACAAAAATTAACCGAATTGATACATTACGATAGTTTTAATACATTTAACGTGTAATATAAAAAATTAGAATTTTGAAGGTACAAAATAAAAAATTTTAATTATTCAGGGTATAAAAGTGAAATTTGCCATCAAATCCTTACATCACTGTAAATAAGCCAAGTCCACACACATGCAACATAAGTGCCATAAGTTTCTCCATCCCATGTTGTCACTCAATTATCGTTCATATTTCTAATTTTATTCCATATGTAACCTAATTTTTTATTTTTTATTCATTACTTAAGTAAAAGCATAGTTTAAATTCACCTATTCCAACATTACACAAACAGGAACAGAATTAGAAATTTTATTTTTGCTGGACATTTACTTAAAAATTATAAAAAAAAAATTTCAATCAGTAAATTAAAATAATATATTTAAATTTATTATATTGTATTTGATACTTAAAGATTCATAAAATATAAAAAGAGTTAAACATCTGTAAATATAGTGTGAACAAATAAAAAAACGAGACTAATTACAATTTTTAAAAATAAATGTAGTTGACTTCGTAAAAGATATTATACTCTTTCTCTATAGATAAATAATATTTTTTATAAAAAAAAATAGAATGGGGCCATGCCCCTGGTCCTCAGGTGGTTCCCCCCATGTTATAAAGCTTTATAAAGCATTTTATAAAGCTGTAATTGTTCCAAAGAGACAGTAAGTTCAGCGCTCCTCAAGGCCGACTTTCTTATGAATGCATTCGTTCTTTTGAAGATGGTCATTTTTTTTAGTACTGCGGTAGAGTGTTTGATGCATTTTTCGGGTATCTCGATTTATTTTCTTTTCGATTCGATTAAATATACGCATCTTTATCGAGACTAGGACATTTATGAGGTAAAAACGAGATTATTTAAGAAATAATATAAAATTAATAATCATAGTTAAAAAAATGATTTACCATTGAATTAATTATTAAAATTTTCAAAAATTAACATATTATTAGCAAAGTGTGTGAGTAAAACTTAGGATAGTGGTAAACTGGCCAAAAAAAAAAAATCAAATATTTTTTATTTGAACAAACAACAATCGATGTATTACCGTTATGAACTCAATTTTCTTTATCGTTATATCATTTGGTTTTTATTTTTTATTTTTAGTTAGCATAACCATAAAACTTAACATTAACCGATTTCCATCAATTATTTATTAATTTATTTAAACAATTTTATTTTTTAAAATGATAGATGCAAAAATGACATAATTAAGTTTATAATTATTAACTAATAATCCCTTGATCCCAACAAAACTAACTTTTGTAGGCAAGAAAGATGTCACAACTTTTGTTATCAAGTTGAACTGTTGAGGTGTCTTCTTCTCTTGTTTTCTAGTCTAA